ATTGAAATATCATATTGAATAGCACAGAAATCTGGGCGCAATCAGTCTATAGCTGTGCCCATGTATTTGTCTCTGCCTTTGTAAATGTATTTTGTATTTTGATGGGGTTGGTATGATTTATTAGTCTATATATATTGCAGGGAATCATGTGCATGGCTTTGAGTGTGCTGTGTGTCTATCTTAAGGGTATGATGGGTGTCAAGGAGTGCTAAGGGCCATCTGTCCAGTGCTACCACCTCCTGTGCACATGACTGAACAGCCACCTGGGGAGCTGGAATGGACCGAAGCATGTTGGGAATGAGAAGGCTCTTCTGACCCTGGTATGGGTATGCTTGCATGAGAGAGAGAGACAGAGAGACAGAGAGAAGATATATATAGGGAAGGTAGGAAAAATGAGCTAGGGAGAGAGGAAGTAGATGACACAAGGAGATACACAGACACAGTGATGGAGAGGGAGAACGATGGATAGAGAAAGAGAGGAATACAAAGAGATAGAGAGGGAACGAGCAACTGCTGATTTTTAACAGGCATGTCCCTCCATCTCTGATCAAAGCATCCTATCAGCCTTAAGGGCATCTCCACTGAGTGCCTCCCATAGCTTCTAAAAATTCTCCCCGCCTAGGAAATGATTTTAACACCTCTCTTCTCATAGCCCTCACATACTGTATGTGTCCATTCATTGGACATAGGTCATAAGCAAAGTGACTAAAACATAAATAAAGACCTGTAGGGTTTCCACATGCCTACACTGCCAACAACATAGACACATGGAAAAGCGTGATGAAGCTTTCGTTATTGAATGAAAGATGGTTTGTATTTTGTTGGATTGTCTGTTCTGTCACTCCAGCTCTACTAAAAGTGGAAATATGACATACACATGTCAGGTAATGCTAAACTATGGTAGCTAATACAGTTCCATTCATATCAGATCTCTTGACTCTGCTCCTCATTCTGATGCATGTGGGATAGGACATACTGTAGATATAAATGAACTCAAATGAACTACAATTGTGCATATACAGTATAGTAGCTCCCACATTATAAAAACCATTGTCAGTTGGAGCAGCTCCTAAACATGCCACAACATTTGCATGACTCATTTAAAATATAAATAAATTTGAATGGAACAGTGGCACATTCCCTGATCATGTTTATTCACTTGCCATGTGAATTTCACAGGCTGTTGTGCCCGAGGCTCCACATTGTTCAGCTGACCACTTTGCAGCTGGCTTTGTGATGTCTGAACCTCATAAGGCTTCATGCCACTACTATGCCACTGGGGATGTCCAGCTGCATTTTCTTTCTACTCTGTTTCCATCAGAGATGGGAAATCAAACAATAGTATTCTGTACTGCTCCAAGCCCCAAATTTCCCTGATCTCTGCCTGGGTCGTTGTTCCAGAGCTGTCAACGAGTCTTTGAATCTATCATCAACCTTTGAGGAACCTGCCTCCTGTGTGAACTGTGGGCAATACCACAGGATACTGGGGTCAGGGCAAGGAAACCCCACCAGCCACGTAATCCAGAAGAAATGGATGCTATCATATCCAGGTCCCTCATAAGAATCCAGTTTTCCAAATGCATATCAGTTGTGTGTTCTTAGAAGCAGTTCCAGTACGCGACAAAAGAATCTCTGTGTGACTATTCAGACACAGAGGAAGGTCTCTGGTGCTATATGAAGAGAGAATTATTTATTTATTTTTTATAAATACTGGTACCATGCTCAGTGGGTTTACTTTTTACCCTTTACACACATACTCACTTTTCTTTCTCTGGATAATTGCATTAATGGGCTCAGAGAGAAGCGGAGACAGGAATACAAACGTGAAGCCCAAACTGTGACCAAATTAGTTCACTGAGACAGAGAGATACATAGAGAGACACAGACAGAAAGAGCGAGGGGGACGGGGGGGGGGTCCTTACTGATTTTAGTGTATGGGACATGCTTGGCATTCAAGTGGCTAATGAAAGCATCATTATCAGGAGAGCAAGACAACTGGGCTTTTTAGAATATGCTTGCAGATGACGTAGAATGATGCTGCCTGTCTCCCCTACTTCCCTTTCCTGCCATTAGACCCAGGCTGTCTGGCTGGTTACTATTTTGATTACAGTAATCTTGTACACAGTTTAGCGGTAAATCTTGAACTAGAAATTTTAATTTAGATTATGTTGGAACAGAAGTACTGCTAGGCATTCTGAACGATTCAAAGCTAACAGACCTGGAAAGGATTCCTAACATACCAATTTTGTAGAAAATGTACTTATTACCAGTCACCTTACAACTTTATTTGAGCTACTGCTGATGCAACAGTTCCTACTGTTGCTGTATGTGTGCACTAACTAGCTTCATAGTGATTGGAGGCTGGTTCCCACAACGTAGTTCCCTGAATTTTACGAAAATGACGCAATGTCAACTTAAAACAACTGTGGTTAAGGGCAGGGTTAGGGTTAGGCAAGTAGTGATTCTGGTTAAGCTTAGTAAGAAGTCAGAAATTCATGTAAGCCTATGTAGGGAATGACAAAAACAAGGATGTGTGTGTGTGTGTGTGTGTGTGTGTGTGTGTGTGTGTGTGTGTGTGTGTGTGTCTGTGTGCCTCTGAACCAGTACATCTACAAGGTAAACAATGCTCGTCATTGTATAAACCAGACTGTGCCAGCAAGGAAAGAATGGTGGCATTTGCTCACAGCTCAAGTCATTGGGGATATGTCCACATTCATTAAAAATGACAAAATACTGTTAGCATTTTTAAAAACCATAACTGAATTCATTCTTTATTCCTAACTGTATCTTAACCCTACATAAACTACAAGGTAATGTGCCATTAAGATAAAATATAACCAAGTTAGTTGCTAATTTTAGCCAACCACACTGTAGCTATCATGTAGAGGTTACCTTTGGTAGGAATAAATAATGATGTCATTTGGAAATTTGCAAAATTGTCCTATGTAAATGTTGTGACTAGTGAAAATGTTCTCTTGTTTACATGTCACATACAGAAGGGGCAACAGAGAGAGAGAGACACAAGCAGTGCTTAATGTGTAAATTGTAAGGTCCCAGAATATCACTTGATGATGGGCCCAACATGCCAGTAAGGGGAGAGGAGGTCCTGGAATGACAAAATTTCCCTCAATGTCCAGTGTGCTTGAATATTTTACACATTAAGGGAGCAGCTTAGAGGCAAAAACATAGTTTGCTATGTTTTTCTAGAGAAGAATCAATCACATGCTAGAAGACACATTTTCAAGTGCCAGTTATCAATGTTTAGTACGAATTATGCTAAATATAATAAGACCGGGGGCAGCATGGTGGCGCAGTGGTTAGCGCTGTTGCCTCACAGCGAGAAGGTTGTGGGTTCGCAACCTTTCTGTGTGGAGTTTGCATGTTCTCCCCATGCTTGCGTGGGTTCTTTCCAGGTACCCTGGCTTCCTCCCACAGTCCAAAGACATGCAGCTTAGGTTGATTGGTGTCTCTAAATTGCCCGTGTGAGTGGTTTTTCATCTGCATGTTGACCCTGCGATGGACTGGTGACCTGTCCAGGGTGTACCCCGCCTTCACCCGATTGCCAGCTGGGATTGGCTCCATGACCCCGTTTGGGACTGAGCGGTATAGAAAATGAATGAATGCATAATAAGACTGATGCTTTCAACCTAATATTTGGAGACTTGCTCATTCACCTCCACATTATTAATGTTAACATTATATTGATATTATACCAACAAATGTAAAGCACACCAGAGACTAGACAGGACAGTGATGCTAAATAAACACGTTCTTACAGTACCTTCAGACATTTTAAACAGCTCCTAACACATTACACAATTTGCCTGTCTTTTTTGTATTTTTGCTGTTGTCACCTCACTCATGTTACACTGAATGTGCAACCAGTATGACCAGTGCTGGCTGGTTACATTGTGATGTAATTAACCTGTTCATATTGTACTTAATTATTCAAATTTTTATCCAACACGCTGTTGTGAAAGGCTAGCTGTACCAAAGGTATTAGACTTTTGACTCTTTATATACTTTTCATATAGTACACTTATTTCATATGTAACCGAAGGGCTGGGTTTAGCACAATATGTCAAAATATATCACAATTTGAGAGGTGCAGGATCTGGATCTGGCTTGTTAAGAGGCATAATCATGTCACAGGGCCTATCAGGTTTAAAAAGGACTGTGTAAAGGAGGTTGGAGCTCATCTTTGGGACCAAGGGATTGGAATGAGAGAGGTGGTAAAATGCCTGCATGTCACACAGAGGAAATTGGCTGAGCAGCTGCCCAAGCTGCCCACTAGTCATACTCTTTTTGATGGGATTAGAGCCCATTGGTTCACTAGGCAGATATGGATACCAGTCTGCCAATCAGACGCAACAGAATAGGAAGGTAATTAGTAGCTCAGAAGGCCAGACAGACAGGCCAACCTGCATATTATGATTTTTTTCCTCAAGGAAAAGTTTTATGTAGCTACTAATGGTAAGAAGTAGCATTGAACCAAATGATGCAAGGTCATACTCAGGCGTGGCCTTTTCAGTCCTTTTTGTAAAAGTAATTTATTCAAACAGAGCTAAGTTCATTTTTGTGTAACATTTAGGTTCACTTTGAAAACTTTTTGAACTGACCTTTGTTTAACTTTTCCTTTGAGGACATTTCTCTTTAAGTGGCTCTCAGATTGGTTGAAAGGGGTAAGGTGAGTATTTGGTGTGGTCAGTGTTGCAAACCTGAATCCAACACTGTACATCTCTATGTTCTTTCAGTGAAGGTGGGAGATTGTGGTTATTTCCAAGAATCATTCAAGAAATTATTAGGAAATAGAAGACAAAATAAAATAAAAGTGTTACTGAAATTAATGGCATTATGGTACAGGGACAAGCTTAACACCCATTTGATTTGATGAGCTGCTTATATGACTTCTTTAAATGAACTAATTTGTCTCATAGTGTTCCAGGTGGCGCAGAGAAGAAGGCTGGGTGGGGGATTAGCGCATTTCCCAAACGCTTCCTCTGTCTGTCCCAATTGAATCTCGCAGGAGTTTTAACTCATAATAAGGGAACGCAAATATTAATTAAAATAAGTTTAAAGCGAATTTCGGAGCTGCGCACATTTGTGCAATTAGTTAACTGTAGAAATCTGTCAGATGTTGAAGCTCCGCGCGTTAAGCAGCCCTGGAAGTTTCATGGCTCGTGATAAATGAGTTTGGTGTAGGTTTGCATTTGGCACTGACTGCGGCTTGCGACTGTGCAGCCCTTTAGGTCGCAACTGGAGAGGGGTTATAAATATCGAGCAGCCGTCGGTAGTGTGGTTGTTTGATCCAAAGTCCCAACGAGTGTTTCTTTAAGTGCGTGTGTGGAGTTTTCCTGCGCCGTGTAATAGGAGGGGTTGGAAAGTGACGCTGGCTGCGCCTTGGTGCTGAGCGGAGCGCTCACCTGCAGATGTGAGACCCGGAGAAACTCGGGGCATAGCTGCAGCACATTCACGGAGCGCAAGGAGGGGCGTCACTAACTCTCTGATTAAGAAAGGGGGGAATTAAACAATTTTTGGAGAAGAATAACGAATCGACCCTCTTTCTGGTTCCTCGCCCAGGCAGCCCTGACTCGCTGGTTCGCCACGATGAGAACTGACTTCGGTCTGGTCCTGACAGCAGCCCTTTTCCTCGACACATTCTGGGTAAGATTTAACATTTTCCGTACAGCTTGTGACATGTAGAGGAGTTATGGGAGGACGACGTGCAGGATTTCAAAGCGCATAGGCACATAAAGTCACGGAGTCCAGTGTCGGTCCAGTGTTCCGCTGCAGCAGCGCCGGTCGTTATTTCCATATAAGTCCACTCATTTCAATGTGTGTGAGAAGAAAAATGAAGCAGAAGAAAAAGTTGGCGACCCGGCGTTGTCCACGCTGGTCAGGTTTTCTTACCCGCTGCGGGTTAATCGGGGGTCTGCAATCTCCTACACAAGTTAAAATGACTACAAATGAATCACCCACGGTGATGTCTTTATCAAACTAATTAATTTTATCAGTGCCTTCACCTGTAAGGCTTCCTTGACCAAAAAGGAGTAGCTTACAACCCTGAAGTCGAAGGCGCATTTGAACCGTTTCTCATTATTAAATCAATAAAAGCTAAATTAAGTCGGCGCCGGTGGGCGAACCCCTAACGGCGCACAAAGTAACTCTCTCAGCAGCCTTTGTAACTAAAACATTGCTCTCACATTAAGTGAATTTAGGAATTTGACACACATTTTACTTTTGCGTTATTACAGTAGTCGTGCCTGATGCTTCCTCTTCTTTCAGACTCCGGCTATAGTCGTTGTACGCTCACGCCCTAACCATCCTGTGAGCCTCTAGTGGGTCAGTTCAGTTTAACCAACAGTGAGCACTAAATGTTGGGTGCACAGTTTTTCAGTACACTGTGTTTGCACACACGCAGTGCTCACTTCCTTCAAGGTCTCCAGAACCCTCTGCTAGTGCAAGACCCTCAGCCGGGAGTGAGAACATTTTGCTGCATTCACGCGTTTATTTAATGTGTATATGCTGTGTGTCTCACTTAACCCTGCGCACAGGTGCTCGTTTTATCTGGTTCCTTTATGGAGAAAGTTACACAGCACATTTTATATCAGACATTAGAGAGAGAGAGAGAGAGAGAGTGTGTGTGTGTGTATGTTGAATCACCAATGTGCCTACCCAGGAGCCTATAGCTGATAAACTTGTTGAATATATTTCTGCTATTTGCTGCTTTTCTCTGAAGCCTGGGCCCAAAGAGGAACAAGAAATCAATGGAATCCATGTTTACGGATGTCTTACAGTACATTGTATTCTCTTCCTTCCAGAGGAGTAATGGAGAGCATGCTTCCAAAGGACCCTGCCAACCTGGCTTCTCACAAAGATTCTACTCTGTGCTGATTCCAAGGGATGTACTGCAAGGCCAGGGCATCCTTAAAGGTAAGACTTTTAATTATGGAGTCAGCTCTTTTACATTTTGTTGAACAGATTTACAGTGTGAGTAAAACAGCTCCATTGCCCTGTGCACTAAGGCCAGCGAAAGGCATTATGTATGACGACTTTTGCACTTGTGCATCAGGAAGTTGATATAAAAATGAAATGATTAAATCGAGTCGTGTTAATGCATGTGTTTGAAGGGTTGATAGCTGAGGTTTGTCAACCGCAGAAGCAGTGTATTACACAAAGGACCTGATCAGGAGCAGCTCTATAGTGCTGTGAAGTCAACATTAGTCTGCTGTTGTAATGTAGTGTCACTGTAGTAGCTGAAGCCTTCGAAGTACCAGACAAACAGTTTGTAAAACATTAAACAAAAATGAAATTGTTTATGAATTTAGTCTTGATGCTGCTCAACCACTTCCATATTATCACTATCTTCATTACTGTCACCTTCACACTACAGAGACTTACCCAGTTGTATGTGTATTGCTCCAATTACACAGTGAGCCAACCAAGTTTGAGGGCCTGATAGTGCAGGAAATGGAATCGACATCCTGTGTCTAATCTGGCACTGCTCCTGCCAATGTAGGCTAATTGCAATTCTCTATTGATCCCAATGGTTTTCCTCTCATAGCTCAGCTAAGCTGTATTGTTTTGCTGGGGGTGCACAATAGCTCTTTTGTGGGTCGACTGTGTCTTCAGCAGCTGCACAGTATATATTTCTCACTCTCCTTAGTTGTGAGAGACCTGGCAGGGATACAGCTGTCTAGACATCCTCTTGAGTGTGCGCGTGCACACAGACGCACGCATACATAGCTGTTTTCAACATACAGTACAGTAGAGTACTGTATATTAGTTTTTGGTTGTTTTCTCTCTTGTGTCTACATTTGTGTTTGTCTTTTGTTGGAGTGATACAAGTCTGGAGGAAGATATTGGCTTGATTTTGGTGTTTCATTAACTATATTGTAGCGGGGCTGGAAGTGGGATTGGATGTGGGACATTGTAGCTGGTAGTGAGCTTGATCTCTGTGGTAGTGATGTCTTCAGCCCAGCAGGGGGTGTCAACACAATCACAGAATGAACCATCACTGCTACACAGGAGCCATTTATTTCAGACAGCATTATTTATCCGGTTTGGTCTCAGAGAGATGAAATTGTCTCTGTTCAGACATAAAGTAATCTTTAGTGTTTTAACAGAGTTGTTTTCACTACTAGGAATTCAATTTAGCACAAACAGTAGATGGTTTAGTGTGATTTTACTGCTGTTTATTCTAACAGACACACTAAAGTCGGCTTCAAACATTGCTGTGATCAGACCAAATAAACTATGATAATCTCCTCTCAACATCTGCAGCCTGTCAATCACAGTATTCCCTTAAGTCACTAATGCTTTAATTTAACATTTATCATTTGTTCCTTATGTGTTCTTTGAAAGGATCTTGCTAAAGTAACGTGAGCTCATCTTTGCTGTGACACACTCACAGCTGCAGTGTCGTCTTCATGTGCGTCTGAGAGCACAGCTGCAGTGGCCAGACACACACACACACACACACACACACACACACACACGCACACAGTGTATGTGATTTACAGGGCTCAGGCCGTTGATTTATAGTGAGTAAGGGTGTCACTGGATGGAGGCAGGAAGCGACTCTGGGAAAGGCTTTAGTAATAACATTGTTTAACCCAAAACTGTCAGATGGGGGCAGGAGTAATGACACCCGCTCATGCACACACATACAAACATAGAGCCTATATATATATATACTGTATGTGTATATACTAAATACGGTATGTATTCATGTTAGCCCCAGGGGAAGAATGGGAAGGACAGAACCTTGGCCATGATGGGGAGGTTGCCTGAGTCTAGACAGAAGGTTGGCAGAGCAGAGGAGGGCATTATGTTTCATATTTTATTGGTTTGAGTCTCTGAAGTATCAAATTGCCTGCAATGTGAAAAGCTAGAGTTAAACGACCACAGCAAATAGCTGACAACAAAGTCATGGCTAAATCTTTCCAACTTTGCAAATTTTATGGTACTGTATCATGAAACGTATAAAATTGTTTTTCATTTCCCTTTTAAATATTGCATCACTGTTTAAAAAAAAACAACAAGCTTTTCACATTTTCATGTACTTCTCTGTTGCTTTCATGAATCAATTCCTGTTTTCTGTTGCTTTGGTTTTGATTAATCTTTGTTTAATGAACTGTGATGCTCTGTTAGATCACTTCCTAAAAGTTCAGGGTGTTCTGGCCAGCTGAGGGTTTTCAGTTATAAACACCGCATGTCCAGTAAACTGAAGTATAAATTCTACACACTGCATTTTTCCTGCTGGAGTAACTGATTCACTGTCTGGAAGACCACCACCAGTTCAGTTGATGGCTGAAACACACAAAAAGAGGAGACTTACACTTAGCTTGTCCTAGACTGTAAGGCTGGATTCTAAAAGGGACTTCTGATTATTTTAAAAGCTGACTTGCTCATATCGCAGCACTTAGTGTTGCTGATGTTATATAAGATTTAACAGAAATATTTTTTCTTTAAAAACAAGCTACTGTTTTAAATGTGGCAAAAAGACCTTTATATGAACAGCAGGGGGTTAAAAGGTGCCAAGTCTCATTCATCCTATGTGTGTGTTTATATCTGTACGTATGCATACATGTTCATATGATGCATTTGGAGCTGAGGAGTCCTGCTAACGTTCATACTTGGTTTTCATTAGCCCTATGATGGTCTCTTTCCCACTTACACCTAGGGCAGCATTAGAGGTAAAGCTCCACCAGGCTTACTAGTCATTACACACCAATTGACCAATACACACAAACACACTCGCAGTGTTCAAAAAAAGTTCCTTTTATACACAGTTGAAAATAGTTTGTTGTTAAAATAATTTGAAGATTTGCTATTTGGATCAATGATACTGTAGATTTCTGTCACAATGGTTGGAGTGTTTTTTAATCCCACAGACGAGAGAATACGAGTTGGACCCTGGCCAGACTCACACAGATAAACAGAGCTGGCTGACGTAACCTCACCCCATGTGTCCCTGCATCCCTCTGCTGATTGTGTTTCTGGTAATGAAAGCCAGGGTTGGTGGTTTCAGCTCAGTGAGCTCACTCTGCTGACCTTGGACTTTGTTTGGGTTGCTGGTGGTTTTGGGCAGCTCTCAGTTTCTCTGTGTGGGAGACTGCAGTTGTATTTGTCTGACTATGTGTGTTACAAAGTGCAAGAGGGGCATTGAAAAACAGATTTGGTACGTTCTGATGTGTGTATGTGTTTTTTTTGTTTATTTTTTTGGGGGGGGACATGTCAGTACCTGAGCTATAGGGATGCTGATGTTCACAATGCAGCTTGTCAGAGGCAACTGGAGATTTTCTCTGCAGTCATCACTTTGTTTTTAGAAATGCCACTGATACTTTGCTCCATTTTGAAAATGAGATCCTACAGCAACTCATCAGCCAGAATGAATGTCTGTATTAAGGTGACCATGTTTGTTCTTAACCCTCCTGGTTAGGCTCAGGATTGCTGCTGTACTCATGAATACATTTTTGATACACTGTAAGCATTCCTCTCACTCTCATCCTTACACACACACACACACACACACACACACACATATGCACCCTATCTTCTCTTCACACATGCACATACACTGTGTGTCTGTCGCACTGCCTTTTATATGCTGCGATTCAGTAGAGACTGACCATGCACTTGATGGCATTTAAATGTATGCCTTTCTCCATGACCCAGATTAATTTTTCTATCTTCAGTGCCACCTTGCTTCGATTATATTCATAGCATATTCTGGCTGCTGCCCACTTCAGGGATAACCAGGAACTAGGAGAAATGGATGAGAGTGCTTTGCATTCAGAATAAAACAAGTTGTTCAGAGCTGTAATTTTCTCCAGGATAATGTTTCCAAAAATCTCTTCCAGCGAGCATCCAGAAGGCCCCGGGTGATGACTTGCTGTGGTTGGTGAAGCTTTAGGTGATTTTTCAAAATCCAATAGCCAGGGTGTTACTTTGCTGTAGGCTTTGTAATCTGAACATAGTCTTGCAACTGGAAGCACAGAAGTTGATATACAGTATCAATTTCATCCTCGGCTTAATGCACATAACTATTTTTATATTTAAAAAAATGTCTCAGTATCACAAATAACCTTCTCTTCTCCGCAAACCAGAGCTGACACAGACTGTGGATGCGGGGACAGAAGTCCGCTTCGAAGGAGGGACCCACAGGAGCCTGAATAAAAGATATCATTTCTTTTCACATGCTCTGTAGGGGTAGACGGTACATCAGTTTCTTCTTTCCCTTCAACCTCTGCCAGAATTAGATTGTTTTGATTTCCTCTTTACCTTTTGCCCCAAATCTCATGACACAGAGGCTGCAGTGGCATCTGGGTCGATAGCAGACAGGCGTCCTCATGGACATTAGACGTTGCTGGAATATCGCATCCCTTGTTACTTTGTGTTTCTACTTGAATCACTCTCATTGTTTTCTCTCTGTATTTAGTAGTTTTGGATATCAAATTTTTTGTCAAGTCCTGTCTTTCTGTTGCTGCTATGACTCATTCATGTTTTGTCTCTGCAACCCCCTCTCATTAAACCATGTAATCTCATATAATGTAAAATATCTGCAGAAACCCTTATCCCATCTTCGCTATTTGTTCGGTTTATGAATATTTTTTTTCGTTTGTCAGGAGATTCAGCCATGGAGACAGGCAGCAGATGCATACGTTTTCCATGGCTATTAATTACAGAAACGCATGAGGCTGACATTTGTTGGGGGACTTGTGAAGACGCTACACACATACTGAAGTGCTAGTTTATGTTCTTCAGGCCAAAGGCTAATCTGACCTCAGAGAGCTGTTACAAATAGCCAGCTGACACATACTGTATTTACTTAACATGTAACCTCAGACCTGATGTATGTGTGCAAGAGCTTTAAAGAATTATGTGAAGATTTTCCAGAGAGGCTCATATACTGTAGATGATTTAGCCAC